CCCTTGGTTTTAAGAATTTGGTGCTTATAGAGAGTTTGTGCTTATATAGAGGTTAAATTTTATAAGTGCTATATAAGCTGGTTTTAAAATTTTACGTGATTATAAGCAAATGTGACTATAGAGGAGGTGACTATAGAGAGGTCTGACTGTAATTTGAATTATTTGAATAATTTGACAGCTTACTATAATAGTTCTTGCTATTGTCAAAAAACTCAAGTTACGTATTTGGCAGCAATTATATTATCTGCCAAATAACTTCGTTATTTGACAGCTTATATAATCCTGCCAAAAACTCAAGTAATTTTAGCAATCACAATCATTGTAAAATCATCGAATAACACCTATTATATGTTACACAACCAATAATAATCTGGTTGCAAATTTAATATGTTTCATTTCTGAGCCCCTTTGGGTCCAGAAGCAGATAAATTAAATTTCACAGCATATAATGAATTAGTTTACAAATAATTCTCGTTATTGGCCGCTTCGCATCAATGACTATATATTATCCGACATGTCCTATGTGAACACCGAACGATTTTTGTGTAAGTTATTCGGCCACCTCCTAATACAAATACACAAATTTTCATCACTTAAGAGGTGAGTGAAAATTTGTATATTTGTATTAGGAGGTTGAATAAGTTACATAGGACATGTCGGATAACTTAGTTATCAATCGAGTCTTAGTATTGATCACTGATTGTTTCATAGTAAATTATCCTAGTGAATACGTAATCAGTTATCATCCACAACACGACAGATAACTAGTACTTACTCAGTTTATTCAGATTATATTTGTTTAAATTTTAACTATCCAAATTCGAATTATTCAAATAATTGAATCAAACCTAATCACTATACTAAGATCACCATACCTAAATTGATTTCGGCATCTGATATGTAGTTGCATAATCAAGAATAAAATAAAGGTTAAGAATTCATTAAAACTTTAATTTAAAATAATGACTAATTTAAAATGTTTTTGGGTAATACCTGCAATATGTAGATTTTGTTATTTTGTAACCAGTGTGCGAAATTCAAATTTAATTTCCATATATATATTTTGAAATTTATGCTTTCATATAAATATAACAAGAATTTATGTTCTCAGAAAACATTAAAACATTTCATTTCACGCTGGTTGTAATCTGTGTTATACATTTTGACCGCCCAAGCCTTCCCAAGACGTTCCAACTTGTCCTATCAATTTAGATTGAAAAACCATCTCAATAATAATAATAATAATAATAATAAACTAAATCTTAAAACACTTTTACTTGAGGGTAGGGTGCGGAACGGGCCAGCCTGTGGGCCTAAACGGCTTTTTTGTAAGTCCCCAAAGTGTTGGTCACATGATAAATTATCATGTGACCAACACTTTGGGACGTGGCCCAAATTACAGAATTAACTTCCAAAAAAGCCTGTTTAGGCCCGCGGGCCGGCCCGTTCCGCACCCTACTTGAGTTGTCTTAATAAAATTTTGAGTTATTGCCATTTTTTTTAAATTCTCAATTTTGTCCCAACTTTGCCCCGACTGTTTCACGTACAACACTCGTTGTAAGACATTCACGATCACATTGTTTTTAATTAGCTAAAAATGTCAATTTAATTGTGTCAATAGTATTCATATGTAGAAATAATTTCGATTTAAATATGTAGTGTATAGCTATAAGAAAACATTCTACGTTACTTTTGAATTTCAAAAAAAAAAAAATATATATATATATATATATATACAGTAATAAAGACTTTTTGCGATGGACGATAATACCAGGGTCTTACATAATATTTATTTGTGATTCACAGGGGAGCATTAGGTGGTACTATTGCAAATATAGAAAATAGAAACCGTTACAATTCCGGAACAAGTTACACATAATATATATTTATTTGTTGTTTGTGTTTTCATAACCAATTATAAGGTCAATAATGACTCATCGCTTTGGCGGGAATTTTGGCGGGCCACATTTTTAAAAGTTACCTTGTTTGAGGATCACCAGAAATCAGTCCTATGCTTCGCTAATACGTAAAAGAAATATTATAATAATAATATTAATACGTAGTAATAAATGTTATATGTGTAATAGTAAGAGAAAATTTAAAAAAATAAAAATACTGCATATAAATCAACATATATTATTTATCCAACAAGGATACTTCTTTTGGCCACAAGCATTGAAATTTAGACCACTTATTATGTATAACCATATATGCGTCCATAGTATATTTAATAAGCAATTTCCATACCGATACAAGGTTCTTTTCAATATAAGGTCTAAACATGAAAGGACGATAAAAGCAAAGCATACATCGACGAGATAGATGGCAAAGCAAGGCATGCTAGTCAGGAGACATTAGCGTTAGAGTCATTTCACTGTAATACTAATACGTCAACCCGGCAATCTGGGTAAATTTTGTCTAAAGATCGTCCGATGGCATGTCGATATATAACACAATAATAATGCACGACACCTATTTTCGTACCTTTTTGTTTGGAAAAGACACATTAGGCATTTTAATTACTTTGAGGTATCACAAAAATACTAAACTGTATAAAAGAGGTTAAAATAATTATCGAAGTATTAAATCTACCACGTACGTACGTACAGTACATAAGAACTTCGTTTACTTGTAGATCGCCTCTCATCGGAGTTCTAAAAGTAAGTGTCTTGACAACATATATATTCATCCATCTTATATTTATTTTTATATTAACAAAAATTCATCATTATTAGACCTTCCGTGGCATTCCATTTTTAATCCCCTTTTACAGGTCACTTTCCGTTCGTCCTGAACATCCCTGAACATTTCCAAACTTCTTAAAAAAAAAAAAAAAAATCCTGCTTTTTTATACTTTTTGTTAAGGATTGTATAATATTAATATTAATTAAACAAAATGTCTTCGATGTCGGAGATATTGAATTTTGTTATTGGCTTTTTGGTGTCCTTTGCAGCTTCAATTATGAACGCCGCTGGCCTTAATTTGCTAAAACTAGATCATGTTAAAAATTTATATAAGCCCCCAGAATCACAACGACATGAATGTGGTAGACCATTATGGCATTTTGGATTATATTTATATATTATTAGCCAACTTGTAGGAAGTACTATTGCGCTAAGTATGTTCTTTTTTTCATATATTTAATTGTTTGTTTTTTTCTTTTTTATAAGATTTAAATTTTAATACACCTACACTAAATCTAGATTACCTTAAAGCGCAATGGGTCGCACCACTTGGTTCTATTTCACTCATCTTTAATTTCGTATTTGCTCGAATGCTAGTGGGTACGAGTATCACTAGGGCTGATATTATCGGTACATTTGTTGTAATAATTAGCGTGATATGGATTGTAGTATTTGGTGGAATGACAGGCCAAGATGGTAAGTTATCATTATTTTATCTTAAGATGGTTTATTTGTAATAAGTTTACTTGATTTTTATACATATATATATATATATACAGATGAAAATCTTACATTGGAAAAATTGAAGTCACTGATGACACGTCCTCTTTTTATTGTATATTTTTCGTTTCTTGATATTCTTACATTTGCATTATTCGGAGTTGCCCTTTATTGTTACTGGATTCTTCAGGATGAGCAAAGAAAAATGCGTGACAGTTTTTTTAAAGGGATAGAGACAAAACGATTGAAAAAAACTGTGGGAATGACCATGGCTGGTGTAGGCGGCTTAATTGCAAGTCAAACGTTATTGTTGGCAAAAAGCGGGTTTGTTATAAAGATTTATTTTTATTTGAATTTTATTAATTAATCCTTTATTAATTTTTTATTATTATCGTTAAATTAGTGTTAAACTTTTTTATATATCTGTTACCATTTCCAATCAGTTCACTGATAATTTAAGTTATTTTATTCTGGTTGGTCTTCTCGTAACAGCTATACTTCAGGTTTGTAAAAATTTGAAACTTGTATCAAATTTTATTATCAAGTTTTTAATAATTAATTATTCTTTTTTTTTTTTTTTAGGTATACTGTCTTAATACCGCGTTAAAATTGCATGATTCTGTCTTAGTAGTGCCCATGTTTTATGGATTTTATACCGCCATGGGTCTTGTTAATTCTATGATATATCTTGATGAAATAAGTACTTATCCACTGTGGGCTCTCTTATTAGTAACAATTGGAATTGCTACATTAGTTTATGGTGTGTGTATGCTAAGTGCATCCAAAGAAAATTCTCCTGTAATAACCGATGAATTTGATTTTGATGATGATGAACCGAAGGGTAGTGATATTAATGGATGGGATACTATGAGCGTTGAAGGTGGAAGTAATACTGAAGGTTCAGAAACTGGAATGTTAAATGATACCACAGATAAGAAACGACTAAGTATTGCAGGAAAGCAATTTGGTGATGGCAGAATATTTTCATTTTCATCGAAAAGATTTAGTGGTGGTGGTGATTCCAGTATTTTCAGGATGAGCATACTAAAAAGAAATAACTCAAAAACAGATTTTCGAGATGTCAAGTCATCCCGTATAAGCAATATAGATTTAGACAATAATTCATCTGCATCACAGATTACGATTGAAAATGAAGATAAATTATCAGATGAATTTACAGCACAAACAATAATACCAATTGCTTATTCTGCGACAAAAACACATGAGGTAAATGATTTGATGTTATTTACTCCTACCACTCCAAGTGAACACTATATGAATCTATCTTCATCACATAATCACCAAACAAGTAATAACAACATGCCAAGTACATTATCTCCGAGTCATCCACGAACGGGGCATGTATATCCGAGCGACGCTGAGTCCGTAATGTTTGCTCGTAGCTTTGATGACTTATTGTATCCAGATGCGCATAAAAATAAAGATCTTAATAGTCAAGGCTAAGTTTGTATTATATTATATTGTTGGGTATTAGCGGAAACTTGCTTTCACTTGTACACATAGAGCCCAGGATATTATTAATGAGTGTCTCGTGATCTTTATATAGTGATCGGGATATTAATTTTGTAACATTATATTTTAGGGACTATTATTTTGTAATAATTTTTTGTTTGTATTAGAAATAATTTAAAATTCTCAAATATAATATTAGTAATAGTAACGTTCTGGATCGTTGGGTATTAGCGGAAACGAAGTTTTTCGCTTCTATACATACGACCTAGGGTATTATTCATTAATTCTACGTGACCCTGCCATGGTGATCGAGGATTATTATTATTATTATTTTTTTAAAGAAAAAAAGATAAATTATTGTATGATACAGGATACACATTATAATTGTAAAAAAAAGGGGAAAAAAAGGTGATATATGGTAACTTCAAATTTACATTCAATTCCCATCTTGCTGGACATATTTTTTGGGTCAGAATTCTGAATTAATAATCACAAATTTCAAAAATATTATTTATTTTATTCGTCAATAAAATACAAAATATATTTAATAATGAATATCAACATTTACATTTCATAATTGATGTTGTATACGGTTGAACCTCCCAAAACCGACATGCATGGCGGATAAGTTTTTGATCAGTATTGAGAGGTTATCAAATTGAAAACATAATAAACTATTAGATTTGTATAACAGAGACAGGCTTAGTAGATTCATTTTTGATCGGGCTATCAAATTTGACTGAATCAGTTTTGGGTGAGGTTAATTATATCTTAATTTAATTACAAAAAGTTTTATTCTCGAGATTGACTATTTTACAATAGTTAGTATTGGTTCCCGTGTGCAAAAACACGTCGAGGCGTATTTTGGTAAATTGATTCATCGATATTTAACCGTTCCTCCTCTTGCACCAAATTATTACTATGTAAGCTTGAGTTTGTGTGCTTTAACGTTTCACGTTTTTGGTCAATCGAATCCAAGAACAGTGATCTAAGAATAACAATTGTATATGTATATCGATATGAGTGTATTGGTTATGCTTACCATTATATAGTAGCCTAAAATAAACATGTACATTTTGATTGGTTAATCAAATGAAATTAAATGCAGGAACATTCTAATTAAATTTATTGTTTAATTTCTTCTAATCCAAAACTGATTTAGCCAAATTGCTATTTTTTAATGTATATTATTGTATGATAATTTAGTTAATCATGTGGTTAAATTTGAGTGCGTGAGAGTGAAAATCTGGAAATAGATTTAATGATTTACTATGATTGGTTACAGGTTTCACACTCACGCACTCATTTAATTAAAGTCATAATAGTTCTAACCAAAATTTGGTGCATACTTAACGCATACGATAAATTAAATATAGTAATATTGTCCAGTTAACAAAGAACTTAAAATTTTCTTTTTGTTCAATGAAAGTACTATACGTATTATAAAATATACTAGGGTTTCTTTTAGTAATTTGTACGTATTAGACCCCCGGTTTTTTATTAAGATATAAGGGTACTAGCAATGTTTCGGGAGAAATTGTTTTTCACTTCTGAAATATTTCGGATTTTGACAAGGATCCGAAATTAAAATCCTAAATTCCGAAATCAAGACGAAAATCCGATATTTCCGATAGTCTGATTGGCTAATTTTTAATTTGATATAATTCTCATAATGTTCAATTTGTCATTTATGAATCAGTAAACGCATGGATATACACGTATAGGATGGGACAAAAGTGGTGTTAAAAACATAAACTAGCTAAATCTAGAATATTTTAAATATAATATGGGATTTCTTACTATCGGAAAAATTATTTCGTTTCAGACATTCCAAAAGCTTAATCTTTAAATAAATAAATAAATAAAATAACTACTAATTTGTCAGTAATTATTTTGTCTTGATGCCTGTTAGAATCATTAGTCAATCGGTCCCCATTGGTAATTCGAATAATACGCAATTCAAATTAATAAACATGTTTTTGATTATGAATAAAGAATTATATAATAAGGTTGTTCTTGTGGATTGGAATTAGACTCATGCATCAATTTGTAAATTTAATATAGCAAATCTTTATGGCTCAATCAATATCAAATTTTATCACATTTATAGCCACTAAAAGATTTTTATTCTGATAACATTTTTACTATAATATCAAATTTATAAATAACAGTATAGTTTAACAAATACTATTTGTTAAATTTAATTGGAGCAATAAATTTGTAACCGCGGTTACTGTAACCGCATCCAATTATATTTTAAGATCAGGTGTAACGTGAAATCAAAACAAAAACTTTTTTCAAAATTTTGACTATGAAACCATTTTTTACATTCTAACAAAAAAAATCCCTTGCTAAATTTTGATATAAACTAGCCTTTTTTATTCCTAGCTTTACCCTAACCCTAACCTTAATTGCAAAGTTTTATTTTTATAAAAAACAATTAGTTTGATAATTACATTAATTGCGGTTACAAAACAATTAATCCAATTTAATTTATTTAATTTATTTTTTTTTGGTGTTAAGGTGGCCTCTTGGCCGGCTCCTTTTATTCGGTTATAGTTAACTTTTACAATATG